AGAGTGGGGTCCTTTTTAAAATTTCATTTCAGACCTGACGGCCCTGGTATGAATTAGGGGGGGGGAACACATTGCCATTTGTTTTATGTGTGGGGGTCCCTCATTAACAACATACCAACTCTTTATCTAGAATAAGGGTCTGGTATAGATGAATGGAACCCTTGGCTGCGTTGTTTACAAACAGAATGAAGCAGCCCAGAGCTGTTATCTACTGACACTTTAACTACTTGCCCTCCAGAAGATTTACCTCCCCTTCATGACCAGGCCATTTTTTGCTGTTTGGTACAGCGCTATTTCACCTGGTAATTGCGCAGTCATGCAATGCTGTACCCAAACAAAATTTATGTCCTTTTTTTCACACAAATAGAGCTTTCTTATGGTGGTATTTGATCACCTCTGCAGTTTTTACTTTTTGAGATATAAACAAAAAAAGACCAAACATTTTGAAACATAAATATATCTTTTACTTCATTTAGTCATAAATGTAGGCCAAAATTTATTCTGCTACATGTCTTTGGTAAAAAAAAAAAAAATCCCATTACATGTATATTAATTGGTTTGTGTGAAAGTTATAGCGTCTACAAACTATAGTATATATATTGGAATTTACGTAGCTTTTACTTTCTGACTGCACATTTCTGGAGGTGTTAAAATGCTAGGGATGTACAATCCCCCCCCCCCCCAAAAAAAAGAAATATGACCCCTTTTTGGAAAGTAGACACTCAAAGGATATGGAACATTTTTATTTTTTGCCACAAATTTTTTGAAAATAATATTTTGTTTTACACAAAGTTGTTACTTAAATGATATATTGCTCATGCATGCCATTGGTATATGTGGAATAACACCCCAAAACACATTCTGCTACTTCTCCCGAGCATGGGAGAGACACATGTGAGAGACTTTTTGGCAGCCTAGCTACATTCAGGCTCCCAAAATTCAATGAAAACCTCCAGGATTTCAAAGAGCATATTTCCTCATATCACTTTCTCACTACCTATCACAGTTTCTGGACCTTAAAATGCCAGGATAGTACAAAACACCCCCCAAATGACCCCTTTTTGGAAAGTAGACACTCCAAGGAATTTGATAAGAGGCATGATGAGTACTTTGCAGATATAATTTTTGTCACAGGTTTTTGAAAAAGAAAATAGAAAAGGAAAAAGACATTTTTGTTTTCTTTCTTCGTTTTCCACAAAAAAGTGGCAACAAATTAAATCTGCAAAATACTCACCATGCCTCTTGGCAAATACCTTGGAGTGTCTACTTTCCAAAAAGGGGTCATTTGGTGGGGGAGGGGGTGCTTCTATTATCCTGGCATTTCAGGGCCAACATTAGAAGTTTATGCCACATATCACCCACTCTTGAAGACCAAGCCTTTTCTGACACTTTTTGTTCACATGAAAAACTGTTTTTTTTTTCTAGAAAATTACTATGAACCCCAAACATTATATATTTTTTAAAGCAGAGGCCCTAGAGAATAAAATGGTATTTACGCAGTGATTTTTCAAACGCAAATTTTTGGGGGAAAATACACTTTTTAGAATTTTAATACAGAAAAACACAATAAATTGCCCAATCAGTTGATAAAATATAAAAGATGATGTTACACTAAGTAAATGGATACCAAACATGACATGCTTTAAAATTGTGCATGCCCGTGCAATGGCGACAAAGTACATACATTTTTAATACCGATAGGCGATGCTTTAAAAGCCTTTACAGGTCACCAATTCATATTCACACAGGAGGTCTAGTGCTAGAATTACTGCCCTTGATCTGACATTCACATTGATACCTCACATCCATGGTACAATCTCTGTTTACATACCGTCATGGGACCAATTCTTGTGTTCGCCTTTGCGCACAAGTGCAGGAAAGGGGGAGGGGCAGGGGTGATTATTTTTTTACTCTGTCCCTTTTATTTTTGTTTTTGTTTGTCACTTTTATTGTTATCACAGGGAATGTAATATCCCCTGTGATAGCAATAGGCAGTTCCAGGTAAATCTGAGGTCTATTAGACTCTAGATCTCTCCTCTGTCCTTAAAACATCTGATTACACCAAGATCAGTGTGATCAGATGCTTTTCAAATTTAAAAATGGTGCTGTTAAAGTCCGGAGAAACGGAAATGATGAAATGCTTGTAGCTTCCAGTCTTTTAGACCATAGAGATGATTGGAGCTATTCTGGTCTCTGATCAGCTCTATGGTTAACCAGCGGAACTATCAGCTGCATTCTCAGATTCCCCTGTGGGATGAGAGAGGCCAAGAAAACAGTGGAAGGCGTCAGGAGGGGGAGATACATTGCTGGTCCTTGTTGGGCATATATGTAACAGCAGAGAACATAGGCATATGATGTATCAGGTCTGTGGACCAATATGAATGCAATTCAATCTTTTTTGTAATGCCCATGTTGAGGGTTAGGCCCCAAAAAAGTTTTAAATTCAGAAACCGTGATAGGTTTCCATGCAAAAGTTTCTGGCAAGAGCTGAATTGGGTGGGCGGCAATGTGTTGTTGTGCATATAAATTGCTTTGGCCCACAATCAATTGGTACAAATCTTCAGTGAAAACAGCAGAGGGAAAAAAATCTAGTGGTGTCTGCAAATGGGTCTACAAACACTGTACTAGTAATGGCGGTGATCAGCGACCTATAGCGTGAGTGCGATAGTTTGCAGGCAATCTAACGCTAGCTGACCCTGGCTGGGAGGGGTGCTTACAGATCCTGACGCTATCTGATGTCGCTAGTGGCACTAATACAGTGATCAGTGAAATATTCTATATACTGACACCGTATTAATGGCACTGGCTGGGTGACAGGGTGATCAAAGGGTTAATAGGGGCGATCAAAGAGTTATATGTGCTAATCTAACTGTGTATGTAAAATGTAGTGCTTTTACTCGATGCCGTGTTTGTTCTTCTCTCCCTGGACCGATGAGAGGTGGCAGTGGTGGGCGCAGGTGCGTTCACACCCCGAAATAGAATGCGACGTAAGATTACGTGACTTTGCACAGAGCCGCTGCTCATCCACAAAATGTGGGTAAACGGTCGGCAAGTAGTTTAAAAAAAAAAACATTTAACTTTTTTTTAATTCTCAATACGGTATTTTTTATTTTTTGGACACTTAATTATTTAAATTTAAAAAAACAAAAACCTTTAACGGAATAGTACAATGTTACCATAGTTACATTGTACTACTGTGGTTGGGGGGGGGGGGGGGGATCAGGGATTTTTAATTTTTTTTTTTTACACTTTGTTTTGCAGGAGAAATAAAGATCATTTCTCCTGCAATGCAAAGCTTGCTGTGATGACCATAACTCATTCATGAACTGTCAGTTAGGTTTTTGACAACTCTAGATAGTGATCTGTGATTGGCTGGAGCTGGTCACATGGTAGAGTGTGCTGTGATTGGCCCCATGTATCATGTGACAGCTGTGGGCCAATCGCAGCTCACTAGGAAGAGAAGCAGAGATGCTATGAATCAGGCACGGTTTGGGCATCCCCCAGGCAAGCTCTTTAACCTCCTTGGCGGTATGATTCTTTCCGATTTTTTGTGCTGAAAGTGGGTACCATTTTTTTGCATGGAAATATGTAGTTTTTTATTGTAGGCTGTAATTTTTAGGAATAACTCACTGAAATCTGTACGAACAAGAGTCTAGTAAACATTCCGGGTATGATAAAACTTGAAATACAAAATCATAAATTATAATTTAATAAATAATCATAAAAAATAATAATAAATTTAATTAAATAATATCAAACCAAAAACACTGAAATTTGAAATAGAGCGCCAAGTTCGCACATCGCTGAGCAAAAGTCGCAGAAATGTTTTCAGTGTCTGATGACGAATTTCCCCACTAATTATTATCACGCAATTCTGCAAGTGGTTCTGATTTACTATCGATGTTTCTCTAGCTGGTCTAAAACCAATTTTGACCTAAAGGGACGCTTTTTGGACGCCATGGACTTTTCTAAGTTTCCAGGCAGAAAGAACAGTAAAAATGTAGGCAGGGCGCCGGACAAAGCAGTAGGGACAAAATGTATGTGAAATGCATTGAAACAGCAATGTTTTACTATGTAATAATCATTTTCTAAAAAAATTAAATTTTTTAAAAATTTCAAATTTGACGCCCGTATGTCCCGACATCACAGGGACCGGAACACGGAAGCCGGATGCCGGCATCGGCCGGAGGAGATGGCCGGGGACGCTGCAGGGGACGCATCGCGGGAGCGAAGAACAAGGTAAGCTGCAGGGACTCCCTATGCAACGCTGCATGGTAAGCCCGAGCGTAGCTCGGTGTTACCACTTTTGGTACTGAAACTTTACCCCGAGCTACACTCGGGAATACCACTAAGCATTACTAAAATAAATTCTCACAGCCAAATAAAATCATTGTTTTAGCTCTGGTACATGTTACCCATGGCAATGCTCAGCAACCTTTGCCATTTATTTGACAACCACTTGCCTATCAACCTAGAAAATTTCCATCACTTTTTTTTTCAGCCTTTGGCTCTCATCGGCTTCAATGAGGTTTGGATTCAGTACTCAAACTTCAGTCAAAGAAAAACTGTAAATACAGCTTTTAGGTATTATTATGGCACAGATCAAAATGTAAATAGGTAATCATCCATGAGTCAAGGGCTGTCATGTCCCTTAACAGTAACATACAGAAATTTGTCCCCCAGGGATTTGTGGCTAAGAAAGATTTTGAGAACGTTATTGGTGTATGATTTATTATATGCCCAGAAATTAGGGGTACATTTTCAAACCAGAGTATGAAAATGCTTTTGTGGAGTGATTTTATGGATTTTGTACAATAAAATTAAATAATTTTCTTATATATTGTTGTGGTGTTGGCTGCAGTAAAGTCCCATGAGTGACAGATCTTTGTATGAATAGGTATTTAATGTTCTATAGAGAAAAAAGTTTGAAAATGTATTCATCAACAAAAAACACTGTACCTTCTTCCAAACCAAACAATAAAAGTAAATTGCATCAATACCTGTTTTGGAGTCCACAGAGAAATATGGCTGCCCTTGGAGAATACTGTACACCACCCTTGCGCTACTCCCGTAGGTAGGATCATCTGCATCTGTTGCTGACACTTGGATAATAGAGGTACCTAACAAAAATAGAAAACAGTGACCTTTTTAAATTAGGAGCTCAAAATCTAATTTAGATTCTCCAATAATAAAAAAAAAAAGCGTTCAAAGTTTGCATAATGACAGCAACACTAACTGTTTAACCACCTGTCAGTGGAAGATTAATTGCCAGGCACATCTTCCATTCCACTAATGTATCCCAGCAATATAATGAAGAAACAATTCTAAGAGATAAGCAGCACAAGACTATTAATGTTTCCCTGTCCCTTTACATATTGGATTTACTATTCATAGCCAATATGATCACTGTTTTAGCCACCTGTTCTCTATGCTAAAGAATCCCTTTAATTTCACTGCATCACTCTCTGTCTGGCTGTGTTATGAATGTAAATAGTCTTTTATTGTTATTATAATGAAGCTTTCTGCCACATGTCCTATCCTTGAGAAACCGGTGACAACTTTACAGCTTCGCATGATGAAATGTATGCTATATGAATCTGCTATTCATATACGACAATGAATAAAAATTCCTTAAATTCTCTAAAGTTGTTGCATTGTGACTTGTTTAATGTTATGCTTTTAATGCATCATGGGTAAAGAAGATTTGTACGGCTTTAATAAGACAAAGGAATAGCAGTGATATTCAAGGTGATAGGGTATGGTGGAGCAGTCTGGAAAAAACCTTGAATCCATAAGGTTTTGCCTATTTACAAATTTTCAATAGATTTTATTTATTGATATTCTGTTGGAATTTGCCAATTAACAAAGCTGGAAAACTGAAATTTATACAAAAATAGTGATGCATAGATAACATTTATTTACATATTATTTATCATTATTGTTTTTGTCTAGCATTATTTTCCAACCATTTACTGTCTTTTTTATTACAGCTCCATACCCATTGCTAGATTTGTCTCATCTTGAAGGTCCAGTTGCTGGACAGATTTATATACAAAGTGGTTCTAAAGTCAAAATAGTTTTTTACTTTAACCACTTATTCCTCGTTCACATATATTGTATGTGGTCTGAAACCGCTTAGTTTTAGTGTTGCAATTCTTCCTGTGAATTACATGTGGTTTGTTTGAACGCCTATGTGTTATTGATGCGATTTAGCAAGTGCTCTCAAAACACCTCTCATCATCTTCTATGCCAAAACTCATCTGCATTGCTCAGATCTGAACACTCATCCCAGAATATCACTGTACTCTATGGGATGCAAAATTGGAATGCATTGTTCCAAACTCGCAGAGGACTCTTTTTAAAAACATGCTCAAAACGCATTGCGTTTCCATCACATGTATGTGAAGCCCCTCCATAGGAACACAAGCTATCTGCCATGTCATGCAAATAAGTGTCTGTGAAAAAGAAAGACAATTCACATATATGTGAACCAAGCTCCAGAAGATTTGACCCCCTTCTTGACCAGGGCTTTTTTTTCTATAGGGCATTGTGCTAATTGAACTGGCAATTGCATGGTCATGGTCACGGTCAACATTGTACGCAAATTACATTGATATCATTTTATCAGAATATATCTTTTTTTCACAAATAGAGCTTTCTTTTGGTGGTATTTGATCACCAGAAGCGAATATAGCCTAATTATAGGCAGATAAGGAGGTGAGCTTACATCTGCACTAATTGGAGGATTCACAAACAGTCACGGATTCACTAACAGTCACGGATTGAAGATTAAATTAAGCACAGAATCACTATTTTTATGATTAATGGGACACTATTTTTTGCACTTTATGAAATAATTATATATGAGTATTTATATATTTTTTATTTTTTACTATTAATGGTGTATAATTGGTTTAATCATTTATTTTATAATCACGGATACGTATTATTTATTATGAATTATTGAGGTTTCTATTAGTGTATATTTTTTATATTAAGTTTACAATATATATGAATTTTTGGCTCATGGTATGAACACGGATTTAAATATTTTTGCAAATTAGATTATTTGTTTATACATGATTATTAATTTTGGGTATATAAAAGGGATTATAAGTACTGAAGAGATATTAATTAATAGGAGCGCAACACACTATGGTGAATTAATTTTTGTACACAGTGGTTGTTATGTGTTGGGTGTTTGCGATCTAGTAATATTTAGGACATATTTTGTCCAGATTTTTATTTTAGGGTGTTTATTTAGTAGCTTGGCTCACAAGTCATATAGATATTTGATCACCAGGTTTTTTAATTTTTTTTTATATAACCAAAAAAGACTGAAAAAAAACCCCCAATATTTTTTAATCTTCTGCTATAAAACATATCAAATAAAAAAAAAAACAAATTCTAAATAAATTTAGGTTAAATGTATTCTGCTACATGTCTTTGGTAAAAAAAAATCCCAATAAGTGCATATTGATTGGTTTGTACAAAGGTTATAGTATCTACAAACAATGGTATACCTACAGTATATACTGGAATTTGTACTGATTTATTTTGTCTTATACTAGTAAAGGAGGTGATCAGCGATCAATATCATACATTATAGTGGGACAGTGATCGTGTGGTGGGCAATTTACAATGTGCCTTAGCACACAGGCACGTAAATAAGCGCCGTGTATTCCTCAGTATGAAAAAAATTGGAAAATCTGCATTTGTGGTCAGCAATTTGCGCCGCCTGTGTCAGTAATTTATGCGCAAATGAGCATAAATATTAATACATTTTTACCATTAGAAGTGTTCTTGTTAAATGATGGCTATATTACATTGGAGGGCAGGTGAAGAACATTATTCTTCTCCAAAAAATACCAAACCAGTTTATACTGTAGGTGAAGTTGCTGGTTATTTCCTGATGCTGCTAATCATCTTAGTATTTTAGGCTATAGCTTTTAATTACCTTCCCATAAATCCGTCAAGGAATGCTAATTAAAATCAATATATTCCCAGCAATTAATAAATGATGCTATAGCTAGAATTAGTGATTGCAAAGAGACTAATGTGCACACTTTCCAGCTATGCTGTTCTGGCACTTTCTGCACCCAAGTGTCAGGAATGGAATCGCTCCAAAGAATTGGCTTATCAAAGGAACATTTTGCATTATATCAGCCAGCCTTTGTTTATTCCAAACATCCAATCAGTTACAGAACAATTATGAATTTTGATAATCATCTGATAGCTGACCCAACAATAGTGCCACTCAGCAAAAAAAAACCCAACCTCACTTTTCGACAATTCAAGTTTCTCCTGCAGATTACAACCAAGGCTAAACGGACAACTGCTAAGTCCTGGAAGTCCCCTCATCTTAGCATTCTGGAAACCAAGAACAGAGTAACCCAGGCCATGATCCACGCTAAAATAGAGGCAGTTTACCTGGATAGAGTTCATAAATTCGAACGACTCTGGAGCCCCTGTGTTGCACACTACCTCCCATCCAACTTTGATGAGTCCCTCTTACTCCCATGATGTCCCATCTATGCATGGGCTTGAAATATTATTATAGCTTACCCTGACCCCCTACCCTCCTTGGGATTCTCCACTTTTATCTACTCCTCTCCCTCTCCCCCTTTTTCTTAGCTATCTCTTTTCTTCTGTCTCTATCCACTTAATCCACTACCATTGTGATGTTGGCATTGTCGGTTATTGTTGGCTGCCCCCCCCTCTCTTTTTTGTAGTTCTCTGCTACATGGACATATCACTGCGCTGTCGCATACCACTACAGAATCTCCTTTTATCTCCACCCACATTATTGGGGTCTTGACGCTCAACCACTATCTACCCTGTTGACCCTAAATCAATAGATTGTACAATTATAGTCCCAATAACCTACCTCTTCTTATATATTATTACTCTACGCTATACACTTATGATACCTTGCTTTATGATGTTACCGCATGTTCCTGTTGTATCCTTCTGTCCCATGTACCCACATGTGGGCTTTCAGATGAACCTTTTCTACTAGGCAATACATGTACTTGTCCATGTCTAATGTGACTTACTCCTGTACCAATGCCTACTTTTCTAAATTTAATAAAAAGTTGAACAAGAGCAATTGAAATGACGTTTCTATTCTAGTAAAATTATGTTTAAAACAAATATTTTCCAATAGTGTATACAGTATTAAAATAACTTCTTTAATTAGTGAAATCCAGAGGGCCTGCATTTTTAAGAGATCAGTCAGCTCAAACGTAATATCACAGTTTTTGATAGATGTTGGAGTGCATATCGTACATCTAGTACCCTAGTGTTTATTTCAGAGGTTAAAAAGCTACGATTAGTTTCTAGGACTCATTCAACTCATGCAAACCCTTAGGCTCTAAGAACACTGGCTGAAAAATGTACTGCTTCTACAGGAGTTTTGTGTTTTGCCTGTAGAAGGAGCTCAGTGTTATTCTATATGTCCCTGTGCATTAGGACGATTAGAGGCATATTTTAAGCTCAACATTTAGAGGCACAAAAAAAACGCAATTTTTGATTGGAGCTTTCTGACAAAAAAATGCTAAACTCGAAACTGTTATAAAAATGTTCTATATCAGCGTTTTTTTTTCTTCCAAGGGAACTAGAGTTTTTTTAAATGAATAAATGTATTTTCTCCTTTACACCCCTCAAAAAGTGTTGAACCTCCCTAGAAAGTGCAATTTAAATAAACCTTTTTGTGATATATTACAATAAATAAACTAAATTAAAACATAAAGTGTTCACATAAAAATCACAAAAATCCAAAAAACCAAAAAGTGTCCAAAAAAAATATCCAAAAAAAAGTCCAATGTCCAAAAAATCCCAAATTTTCAAACTTTTTCATCAAATAAAAGGATTGACTCCCTATTCCATCCAGTAAGAACCTCAAAATTTTACAAAATCTAGTGCATCCATAGTAAAATAAAGTAATCACCCAGTGCAACTCTCATATAGTGTAAAAATGATATATATATTTATATAATAAATGAATTAATTAAAAATTCTTTCTTAGTGCATAATCACACAAAGCTGTGAACACTCAGTGATCACTACAACTCTGTGCACACCATCAACTAGTGTTTATTTCCCTCTGTGGTTAAAAAAG